TCGAGCCGATGTAACCGCCGAACAGCGGTTAGCCGTGTCTCCGGCCAGCCCGAGGCTAGCTGATGCCAGAAGAGGTCTCCTGCGGCATCTGCCCCATCTGCGCACTCCTGAGCTCGAGGCTGCGTGAAGCCAGTCGTCTCCGAGGCCCAGGCTAGGCATGCCGTCGATGGGGTGGATCCACGCCCGACCAGGCCGTCCGTCTGTCCAGCCGGAGGCAGGTCTGTGTGCAAAAAGGGCGCTATCGGGTATGACGGCTCAGCGTGGCAGAGTTCGCTGGAGAACGAACAGTACCCCGGCGTCAGGTTATGGGCGGTATGTAGTGAGTCTGCATAGAAATCCTCGTGGAAGCGGGAGAAATGGGCTCTGTAGACTGCCATGCTGGAAAGCTAGACTGTGCTAGAGGTAGGGTCTGGTGCTGGCCGAGGAATCAACTGGACTGCACATGTTCTCTGCTGGAAATGTGGAAAAAGTGACCGATTTTCAGCGCTCCGGTAGTCCCGGACCTGGTACTGACCTCCTGTCTTGGCCTCTATTTTGCCCTCACTCCTCTTTTCCTTGCGTCCGTAGGTCGCCAAAATGGTGCGTTGCTGTAAGAAACCGGGCTGCTAGGCACTGGTACGTGTGCAGAACGAAAGATAGGCGGCCCAACCAGAAGCAGAGGCTGGCGTCTCGCCGGTACAGGTACAGAAAGTGTGTGCACATGGTCTGAGGAGAAGAGGGAGAGGGAGAGGAAGAGGGAGAGGGGAGTTCTACAGAAAATCGGATGCAAGCCAGTCTGGAGACTTAGAAAAGACTGATCTGGCCGATGGGAAAGCAGATGCGTGCCCCTAGGCCATAGGACGAGCGGAAGTCGTTGATGCTGGCAGACAATCCAGCTGAGATGAACAGAACAGGCCCCTGGCGTCAGGATTGGCTGCAGAGTCTCTTTGCATCGCCGGTGGGCAAAGCAGAGAATGCACACATCTGCGTGTCTGTGAGCGTCTCTGGGCACCAAAAGACGCCAGAAGGGGGGCTGCTCTTCGAGGCTGCGAGGGTCGTTGGGAGGGGTCTCGAACTGCTGATCTCATGGAATGAGAGATTTAGTCAGCCCAAGTAGCCCAAAGTGATGGATGATGTGTAGATCTCATGGTTTTATTGAATTTCGTTTTATCCCGTTTCCTAAAAGATATTTACATTCAGGATGGAACTGACCGCAACTTTCACTCACCCCCGGCGGGACTCGAACCAGATTAATACATTGCATAACCACGACACGATACATGCTGCCAAGAGTGCACACATGTGACAGGGTAATTGTGAATTTCAAGCTGTTTTTCATGATCCGAGAAGTCTGGAGCAACTTGCATCTTAACATTTGTGCAACTGTGGCATGCCAGAAGGGAATTTATCCTGCGTATTGACAAACGATGAATTCGTTTAGTGGATTAAAGCCAATAATGATGGATGATATTATCTAAATACCCGTTTATTCACTTTTTAGTGCCATTAATAAAGCATTTAAAAAGCTCCTCCTATAAGAACTGTATTCATCCTATTCGGTTTGAGTTGATAAGAGGACTGGTAGTTGAATTATCCCAAAATGCTATGAATAGCCCTTATTTATCCATTACATTTCACATAGCCTTGCTTTCTCAAAAGGTATCCTCATCCAGGCTGGACTGGACTGTAGTTTGGACATCACTTGGGTCGCATCAGAACCCACAGCGAGATTCTAATCATGAAAATTCAGCAAATAATCTCGACACCTTAATACCTGCATCACACTACCACGGGTGCCCTTGGGTCGCGGGGCAGATGTGAATTTCAAGGAAAACCAGGCATTTTCCAATATCACATTCTGTGGTGGAAATGTCGATGAATCTAGGTTATATTTGCTATAACAACCGACTAGATTACTTATTCACTCGAAATAGAATTTAGCTCAACAATTATGAAACAAGAGATTTCCCGAAACCCAACTTTTCTTCGCATATATTACTTATTTGTCGTTTATAAGTAGGGGTTATAAACGGATATTCTCGAAACCCTACTTACAAGCGACAAATAGGTTACCTATATTGTAAAGAGGTGGGGTTTCGAGAAAATCACTCTTGTTGGAGTGATGATGATACCAAGACAAGCTCGAAACTGTATCCTACTCTTCAGGAAAATAAAACTATGTGAATTTCAGCTAAAACGTGAAACCTACAACTAACAATGAGGGAATAATTTAATTATTAGCCTTCATCTTCATATACATAACCTAGGGTTTCAAAACTCTCATTCATGATGTACTGATAGTTTCCTTTGTGTATATCTCGTAGAAGTGGCAAGCTAACATTATTGCTTTCGAATAGGTTTTGAGTCTAGTAGTGGACGCAGATTTAATGGGAATGCGAGGGAGACAATATCACTTTGCTCCGTGAGGGCTCTCTTCCTTGCTTCCCGACCATCATCTGGTTCCTGTTAAGGCCACTGCATCGCCCGACTGTCCATGCCTCAGTGAGTACATTCGTGTTGTAAATGCTGCAAGATCATTTGAGCATGTTGTAATGTCTATGGGGGAGAGGAACCTGTCGACACATACAGAAAAGTTTATCTGAACACAAAACCTTTTGCAAAGGACTATGGAACTCAAAATCAGAGCTAGCTGAACACATGCACCAAAAAGAATGGTCCAAATCACAGCATTTTGCATAGAATTTATAGAAACAAACAAACCGGCCAACATGTTAAATAGGAAAAAAGGATTCAGGAAATTGAGCAGAAACTATTTATGATTTTGAAAGGATCAAGAAGAAAAAGGAATGTGGGAAACTAAAAAATTCTGAGCAAAATAAGGAGAGATTCGAGTCTAAGTGAGACGGAATATTCGCATTGTATAGACACAATGCAAAATGGCACACTTGCTTAAAAGATTGCAACATCATGAGTCTGACTGTTTATACAAGTAAAGAGCTGACACCGCATCCACTCTTTTTTCATGCATCAGTTGCCCTCATCAACAAGAATGTCATGAAATAGTCAATTAAGTCGTGGAGCGCTCCATAAGGTTCACGAAATTAGATATAAGAAAGGAGTGTGATTAAAGCAGACCTCAGCTATTTCTTGGTCTATTGCATATGGTGAGATTTTGTGTAAGGTATGGTTCCTTGTTTTTGAAAAGGTCAGTTCCAGGAAGTCGCAATCAAAGAGTAGTAACATGAGATGTATTAACTCTATTTCGTTTAATGTGATAAAGGACTGGAGGTAGAATTTTCCCACAATGATATGAGTATAGCTGACGTTTCCATTTAATTTTACATAACCTTGCTTTCCCAAAAGTTGTTCTAATCCAAGGTAGACTGCCGTTTCGTCCTCTCATAGGTCTTATCGATACCCCCAGAAATAGACTCAAAACTCTACTTATATACGAAAAATAGTTGTAATTCCAAGGAGATCCTCCATTTTGCGGTAAGACCAATTTATGAATTTATTCTACCCAACGTTCCCTTCAAATGAAGAGCCCTGTCAAACTGACTCACTAATAAATTTTTCGAAATCAATTTTTTCTTTGTATATACTAAGCACATTGTGATGAATGCCTACGTGCGATGCCTATTTGGACTAATTAAAAGTTTCTTGAATCCTTCGAAAGTTCAACTATTACAAACTTGCTTCCTATGAGCATTAATTCAGCAGATCACCTTTCGTACATTTTGCTCCACCAGATCGGCGCCTGATGCTATTGCCATCTTAGACAAGGGTAAAATTTCCTTCCCGCAGTTCACAAATATAGCATTAAGTATTTTTCGTGATAAGAATATAATTAACGCGAATACTTTTCATACAATCCAATATATCAAAATAAAACAGACGTATTTAAAATATCAATATGCTTCGAATTCATCTGTATTTGTTGAATAGAACCTTATCCGTCCTAGCTTACTTTAGGTGAGAGTGAAACTTTTCTCATAAGCATTTGCTTGGGTCCCATAATACCTCTTAAGTTCCCTTAGCTATCCCTCGCAAAACGTTTTCCCATCCAGGCTGTACTGCCATTTCGACTTTGTCCAAGTCGCATCGGCAACTAAGTCGGGAATAGAAACCAAATTGTGTACATCGTAGCAACCGGAGTGCTAGCGCGTCATAAAGCAGATGTAATTTTCATGACATTCCAGACTTATCCCATATAAGGTTG